CCGGTTGACTCCATATTGGAAAGTTGAACTGGGCATAGGGTTACAGCCTGTGTTGGATGGGGGTTACACTCTCCCTGAAGACGCAGGTTCGCAGCTTGGGAGTTGTGCTGGTACATCTTTATTAATGACTTAGATGAAGAGTTAGAAGGCATGATCATCAAGTTTGCAGACGACACCAAATTGGGAGGGATAGCCAATACTCCAGAGGACAGGAGCAGGATTCAAAACGATCTTGACAGATTAGAGAGATGGGCCAAAACTAACAAAATGAAGTTCAACAGGACAAATGCAAGATACTCCACTTTGGGCAGGAAAAACAAAATGCAAAGATACAGAATGGGGGATGCCTGGCTCGAGAGCAGTACGTGTGAAAAAGATCTTGGAGTCCTCGTGGACAACAAGTTAAACATGAGCCAACAATGTGATGTGGCGGCAAAAAAGCCAATGGGATTTTGGCCTGCATCAATAGGAGCCTAGTGTCTAGATCTAGGGAAGTCATGCTACCCCTCTATTCTGCTTTGGTTAGACCACACCTGGAATATTGTGTCCAATTCTGGGCACCACAATTCAAGAGAGAGATTGACAAGCTGGAATGTGTCCAGAGGAGGGCGACTAAAATGATCAAGGGTCTGGAGAACAAGCCCTATGAGGAGTGGCATAAGAGCTGGGCATGTTTAGCCTGAAGAAGAGAAGGCTGAGAGGAGATATGATAGCCATGTATAAATATGTGAGAGGAAGTCACAGGGAGGAGGGAGCAAGCTTATTTTATGCTGTCCTGGAGACTAGGATGCAATGGAACAATGGCTTCATACTGTAAGAAGGAGATTCCACCTGAACATGAGGAAGAACTTCCTGACTGTGAGAGCCGTTCAGCAGTGGAACTCTCTGCCCCGGAGTGTGGTGGAGGCTCCTTCTTTGGAAGCTTTTAAACAGAGGCTGGATGGCCATCTGTCAGGGGTGATTTGAATGCAATATTCCTGCTTCTTGGCAGGGGTTGGACTGGATGGCCCATGAGGTCTCTTCCAACTCTTTGATTCTATGATTCTATGATTCCATTATTCTATGGTACAGCTGTACCAGAAGCTGCCACTTTATTTGCTTTGTATTAAGTGTTTGCTTGCAGCTCAAGGCTTGGGATTCTGCAGCATTGGTGGCTTCCTGTTAAAAGTTTGCAGTCATAGGGCAGGCCACCTGTTCATCATCATTAGGTTCTCTAGTCCCGCCCCCTTTTTGGGTTTAGAGAAGGGAAGGGAGCCATTTTTCAGTCAGTCTCAGCAAGGAACTGGCAGTCTTTAGGAGGAGCTTGGAAACGTGGTTGTTTATTTATTTATTTATTTCACGTACTTCTACCCCGCCCTTCTCAACCCCCGAGGGGGGACTCAGGGCAGCTTACAAAAGGCACAATTCGATGCCTACACAATAATACAAATAAACCTATATAGACAGCAATTAACAGTTATAACAGTTAAAAACAATCAATATATATCACAGTCAATAAAACCAATCTCATTCTCAACGTTCGCCAACTCAGAGTCCATAGCTTCATTCCACATTGTCCATTCCTATCAGTCGTCGTTGTCCTTCATTTATCTGCCAGATTGCCCAAACGCCTGGTCCCAAATCCATGTCTTTAATTTCCTTCTAAAAGAGAGGAGGGATGTCGATGATCTAATTTCCCCGGGGAGTGAATTCCACAGGCGAGGGGCCACCACTGAGAAGGCCCTGTCCCTCGTCCCCACCAGCCTCACTTGTGATAGAGGCGGGGCCGAGAGCAGGGCCTCCCCAGAAGATCTTAAACTCCGAGGTGGGACATAGAAGGAGATACGTTCGGACAGGTACGCTGGGCCGGAGCCGTACAGGGTTTTGTAGGTCAAAACCAGCACTTTGAATTGTGCTCGGAACTGGATCAGCAGCCAGTGGAGCTGACACAACAGGGGGGTGGTATGCTCCCTGTATGACGCTTCGGTGAGCAATCTGGCTGCCTCCCGCTGGACTAGTTGGAGTTTCCGAACAGTCTTCAAAGGCAACCCCGCGTAGAGTGCGTTGCAGTAATCTATTCGGGATGTTACAAGAGCATGGACCACTGTGGCCAGATCCGACTTCCCAAGGTACGGGCGCAGCTAGCGCACAAGTTTTAATTATGCAAAAGCTCTCCCGGCCACCGCTGAGACCTGGGCTTCCAGGCTCAGCGATGAGTCCAGGATCACTCCCAAGCTGTGAACCTGCATCTTCAGGGGGAGTGTAACCCCGTCCAGCACAGGCTGTAACCCTATGCCCTGTTCGGCCTTACGACTGACCAGTAGGACCTCTGTCTTGTCTGGATTCAATTTCAATTTGTTAGCTCTCATCCAGTCCGACACAGCAGCCAAGCACCGGTTCAAGGTATGGACAGCCTTCTTGGTGACAGGTGAGAAGGAGTGACAGATTTACAAAGGCTCAACCCTTAAGACTTCCTGGGGAGAACAGTCTTAAGAGCATCTAAAGATTCCCAAAGGTTCCCAGGGAAACAGCCTTACAGCCCCGAGGAATTTCGGAGGGAATAACAGCTTTAAACATCAAGAACTCCAGCTAAGTGACTACAGGCCTACTGGTAGGTCCACTCGGTTTTGAGACGCAGTTCAGCCCGGTAGTGGATCCACATCAGTTAGGTTTAGGATCACAGTTAGCCTGGGAGAAGTTTGGAAAGGGATTTTCCTTTAGAGTAAAAGCAACAGTTAGAAGCCACCAGTTGCACAAAGCCTGGAAGCATTTGTTTAACCTTTTGAAGACAAAAGAAGTTTCTGTTGATTGTTCACCAATAAAAGACTTTGTTATATTTTACAAGCCCTCTAGAGACTGTTTATGGTGAAAATCCTTAAGAATTTCTCTTCGGGCCCCCTGGCTTCCCGCTGGGCTAAAGTTGCACGTCCTGTTTTAAAGGCAATTCGTTTCAAGCCCAGCGGCGACAGAACAGGAGTTCTCCTGGATTCATCGCTGAGTCTGGAACCCCAGGTCTCAGCAGTGGCCAGGGGAGCTTTTGCACAATTAAAACTTGTATGCCAGTTGCACCCGTACCTTGGGAAGTCAGACTTGACCATGGTGGTCCACACTCTGGTTACATCCTGTATACATTACTGCAATGCACTCTATGTGGGGTTGTCTTTGAAGACTGTTCAGAAGCTTCAAATGGTCCAATAGGCAACAGCCAGGTTTCAAACTGGAGCAGTGTACAGGGAGCATTCAACTCCCCTGTTACGCCAGCTCCACTGGCTACCAGTCTCCTACTGAGCACAATTCAAAGTGCTTGCTTTGACCTATAAAACCCTAAACGGTTTCATCCCAACTTACCTGTCTGAAGGTATCTCTCTGTTGTACGCAGAACCATACGAGGAGCTCGACCTGTCATTGAACATCGAGAAAACCAAAGTGCTCTTCCAGCAGTCACCAGCCAATCCCTCTCCAATGCCAGCGATACAGTTTAATGGTGTAACATTAGAAAATGTTGACCATTTCCGCTCCCTTGGCAGTGACCTCTCCACCAAAGTCAACATCGACACCGAAATACAACACCGCCTGAGCTCTGCGAGTGCAGCATTTTTCTGAATGAAACAGAGAGTGTTTGAGGACCAGGACATCCGTAGGGATACCAAGGTGCTTGTCTATAAAGCTATTGTCCTCCCAACTCTGCTATATGCCTGCGAAACATGTAGAGATACACCATTGTGGTAAACCTGATACACAACCTGATGTTCTGGACTTTACCAACACTCCCCTTCTCAAAATAGAAGTAACTGAAAGGACATTGGGACGACGTTTCACTACTTCAGTCCTTTCACAGGTGCCTTTTTATGTGTGACGATGTGGGGGGAAAATATTTTCTTTTTACTGTCTTGTACTGAAACAGTTTCCCTTTAAAATTGGCTGGGGCTTTCTTGTGAGCTTTTACCTTGAGGCTTTATATCACAGGCTTGAGAGACTCTTGTAATAAACAAAGTAACAAAGATTATTTATAGCTTCTGGCTCCAATGCTTATGGTTACATTTGTGTGTTCTGTTACAGTCTCGAGTCTTACATTCAATATCATCCACTTGGTTAACTTTTCCTATCAAACTTCAACTGTTTCACATCAACAAATATGTTACTTTTTCATACACTCTTGACAGAACTATATTCTGCTCTAAACAACACTGGCACTTCTTTGTTTTCCTTAAAACTTGAGATCCATTTTCCTAACTGCTTTTCTCTCACAGAAGTTAATACCCCACAAACAGGAATCCCTAACTGAATCTTTTCTGACTCTCTAACTGCGTATTTTTAAACTTAACTCCGCCCCTTTTGGAATGTTCAGCTCTCTTCCCCCAACTGCCATTCTGGCTCAGTGGCCTTTTCAAATCCTGGCCTACACTCATCTGCATACGATCAATCGGCTGCACGTATGCAAATTAATCTTGCCTCCACTGTTGCTACCCTATTTGAGCCAATTCTGCCACATTGCAACATAGAGCTATACATCAAAAATTTAACATAGATCAACAAATTCACTACAGACATTATTTGCTTGAGAGGAAAATACTAATCGATGCCAAAAACAGGTGGATTGATTCAACCAAAGGAAACCATGGATGCTCTTTAGTTTTCCAAATCTGAGCATAGCAGCTTGTGATCAAGACTTTTGGAAGTCCCTCATGCATAGGGTCATCGTAAATTAACTACATGGCAACAACATTAAAGATGGACCCACATTTGTGTATACATGCCTTTAAATTGCCTGTTGACTCATGCCAACCCCTTGAAGGGTTTCCTTAGGTAAGGAACACCCAGAGGTGGTCTTGCCAGTTCCTTCCTCTGAGGTGAAGCCTACAGCACATGGTCTTTGATCACAGTCTCCCATCTAAGAACTAACCAAAGTTGATGCTACTTAGTGTCCAAGATCAGCTGAGATCAGATGCCTTGAGTATATTTAGCTGGAATAACCATCACCACAATTTGAATTTACCACTTGTAGGATTGGCATGTCTTACCTTTCTGTGTTCAATCGAGGGTTGTGGGATGACAAGCTGAAATCCAAGGACAACTATGGAACTGAGGATCCTGTGGAACAAAAAAAGTTTGGACTAAGTTTTTTTAAAAGTCCACAAACAACTTCTCATGGCAAGCAGCACAACTTTCTTCAGCACTACAGACCACAAATTTGGTTTCGGAAGCTACTTCCAGTAGACATTGACCATAGCTGGATTAGATGACCTACAAATGCCTACAGAAATGTTCTCACAAGGAACTGCAAGGGTCTTCTAGCATTCCTCTGTGGCCAGCTGCCACCAGAAGTTGGTCATAGAATCATACTGGAGGACCTAAAAATACCTAGAGGGTCTAGATCAAGCATGGGCCAACTTTGCCCCCCCCCCAGGTGTTTTGGACTTCAACTCCCACAATTCATGAACAGTAAACATGTGTAGTGGTTTCAGTACTCTGTCAGGCTTTACTTGTACAAAGAATGGTTTTATATCTTGAGTTTCTTAAAAACACTGTTCCATACACAGGAATATAAACAGGTTATTTTGAACCTTTTGAATCCCTTTCCACACCAGCACTCTAACACTATAGAGGCTCACTAATACTTCTCCTTCTCCCTGAAGGCCTTAATTACTTTCCCCAAAGAGGTATCTTTCTAATAACAGTTCCCAAAACCCTTCCTTCCTTCCCCTTCAAAACTCCTAGCTAATCCTTCAAAATCCCAACTCCAAACTGACTAAACTATGGCTGCATGAGCGGGAATTGAAGTCCAAAACACCTGAAGAGCCAAAGCTGGCCCATGCCTGCTCTAGATCCTCTGGCACAACTCTGTGCTCAACTTCTAATCCAATAGATCTATTCTAGTTGGGTCCACATAATTATTTTGAGATTTGCACCTATATCTATAGCAATGGTTCTCAACCTTCCTAATGCCACGACCCCTTATACAGTTACTCATGTTGTGGTGACCCCCAAATATAAAATTATTTTCATTGCTACTTCATAACTGTAATGTTGCTCCTGTTATGAATCGTAATGCAAATCTCTGATATGCAAGATGTATTTTCATTCACTGGACCAAATATGGCACAAATGCCCGATATGCCTAAATTTGAATACTGGTGGGGTTGGGAGGTCATTGATTTTGTCACTTGGAAGTCATAGTTGCAGGGATTTATAGTTCACATACAATCAAAGAGCATTCTGAACTCCACCAATAATAGAATTGAACCAAACTTGGCACACAGAACTCCCATGAACAACAGAAAATACTTGAAGGGTTTGGTGACCACATCTCCGTATACGTGACCGCATCTCCGTATATGAACCCACACAATTCCTTCGTTCATCTGGTGAGGCCCTGCTCACGATCCTACCAGCATCGCAAGTGCAATTGGTAGGGACGAGGGACAGGGCATTTTCGGTGGTGGCCCCACGACTCTGGAACTCCCTCCCCAAGGACATCAGGCACTCCCCAACACTGGCAGTCTTCAGAAGGAGCTTGAAAACATGGATGTGAGTGTGCCTTCCCAGATCAAGGAATCCCAAACAATTGTCCCTAATGCACTTTATGAGAGAGTTAGAATTGTCTGCACACCCTTCTATTCCCAAAATATTCATTCTACCTCACCTGTACATGCTCAGCATTTTTAGAATTTTAACCATTACATTTGGCCCTGCCACGGGTTTTTAACAGTGTTGTACTTTTGTTATTGTTCTATTGCTTGTTTATTGTATTGTTGCATTGTATTGCTGTCTGTTGTGTTTTTGTTAATGATGTACTTTGGGCTCGGCCTCTTGTAAGCCGCACCGAGTCCTGCGGGAGATGGTAGCAGGGTACAAATAAAGGATTATTATTATTATTATTATTATTATTATTATTATTATTATTATTTGGTGGGCATTGACCTTGAGTTTTGGAGTTGTAGTTCACCTACATCGAGGGAGCACTGTGGACACAAGCAATCATGGATCTGGACCAAACTTGGTATGAATACTCAATATGCCCAGATACGAACATTGGTGAAGTTTGGAGGAAATAGACCTTTACATTTGGGAGTTGTAGTTGCTGGGATTTATAGTTCACCTACAATCAAAGAGCATTCTGAACCCCACCAACGATAGAATTGAGCCAAACCTCCCACACAGAACCCCCATGACCAACAGAAAATACTGTTTTCTGATGGTCTTTGGTGACCCCTCTGACACCCCCTCGTCCCCCCCCCCCGGGGTCCCGACCCCCAGGTTTAGAAACGCTGATCTATAGCTTTCCAGTTTTGATCAGATCTATGCCTTCCTATTGTGGTGAAGCACACCATCCCTTCCCTGTATCCATTCAAATTGACTTCCCTACGTTGTGTTTCCATGGAAGACACGCATGTCTTGAATGTCTTACGTTGTGTAAAAGCATCGAAATGGAATAGAACAGCGTTTCTCAACCTGGGGGTCGGGACCCCTGGGGGGTCACGGGAGGGTGTCAAAGGGGTCCCAAAGACCATCAGAAAACACATATTTTCTGTTGTATTGGGGGTTCTGTGTGGGATGTTTGGCCCAGTAGGATCATTGGTGGGGTTCACAATGCTCTTTAATTGTAGGTGAACTATAAATCCCAGTAACTACAACTACCGTCAAGGTCTATTTTCCCCAAAAACTCCACCAGTGTTCACATTTGGGCATATTGTGGATTCGTGCCAAGTTTGGGTCTGATCCATCATTGTTTGAGTCCACAAAGCTCTCTGGATGTAGGTGAACTACAAACTCCAAAACTCAAGGTTAATGCCCACCAAACCCTTCTAGTATTTTCTGTTGGTCATATGAGTTCTGTGTGCTAAGTTTGGTTCAATTCCATCACTGGTGAGTTCAGAATGCTCTTTGATTGTAGGTGAACTATAAATCCCAGCAATGACAACTCCCAAATGACAACCCCCCCAAAAAAAAAAAAAATCTCACCAGTATTCAAATGTGGGCATATTGGGTATTTGTGCCAAATTTGGTACAGTGAATTAAAATACATCCTGCATATCAGATATTTACATTAACGATTTATAACAGTAGAAAAATTACAGTTATGAAAGTAGTAACAAAAAATAATGTTATGGTTGGGGGTCACCACAATATGAGGAACGGTATATAGGGGTCGCGGCATTAGGAAGGTTGAGAACCACTGGAATAGAACATAACGTAAAATTGGGAGAGAGGAATGAGCAACGAACATAGATTTTTTGCAAGCACAGAATAATAGAATCTTAAGAGTTGGAAGAGACCTCATGGGCCATCCAGTCCAACCCCCTGCCAGGAATATTGCATTCAAATCACCCCTGACAGATGGCCATCCACCCTCTGTTTAAAAGCTTCCAAAGAAGGAGCCTCCACCACACAAAGAAGGAGCCTCCACCGCATATATCCCTACTTTTTCTCCTACTAAATAGCTGAGTGTAGGTAGGGGGGTCTATACATTCCCAACCGTTTTTCATAGCTTCTGCATACTCTCTTACGCACTTTCTCTCTCCACAAACAGACATACATTCCCCTTCCGTCCACTGAGTAGAAAGTTCAACCCTTGTGGGAGGAAAAAAAAAGCGGTTCAAAGAGGAAAAGGGGGACAGTGCTTCCAAATCTTGTGCATTTCCATGAATACATTCTGCAAACAATCCCACACAAGTGCCGGCATCCTCGAGGGAACAAAGACCGTAATCTTCAAAGGAAAAGGCTTTGACAGCTTAAAAGTTCTCACTGCTGCGGAGGGAAAAGCCCTTCCATTTGGGAAATTTTCCAAAGGGAATATTCTACTCAGGCTCTGTCTCCAAAAGCAGAAAGAAAGGTATCCAATGGATCAATGATTTAGTTGAAGTTGTTCTTGAATACACCACTTCTCTCAAATGTTCAAGACGACACCCGAACTCTTCAGGTGAAACAAAACAAGAATATGTTGTTTATTTTGTTCTTGAACAGTAAAGATGTGTAGTGGTTTCAGTAATTGGTCAGGCTTTACTTGTCCAGAGAATGGTTTGATATCTTGAGTTTCTTAAAAACATTGTTCCACACACAGGAATACAAACCGGTTATTTTGAACCTTTTGAATCCCCTTTCCACACCAGCACTCTAACACTATAGAGGCTCACTAATACTTCTTCTCCTTGAAGGCTTTAATTACTTTCCAAAAGAAGGTATCTTTCTAATAGCAGTTCCCACAACTCTTCCTTCTTTCCTTCCCCTTCAAAACTCCTAACTAACTCTTCAAAATCCCAACTCCAAACTGACGAAACGATGGTTGCATTAGCTCTTTCTTGCCCTCTGGCTCCACCCATCTCCGGTTGCTAAGCAACTCCCTCCAATTTCATCAGCCAATCAGACTGCACTTCCAGCTATGAAGCTGCCTGATCTCTCCTCTCCCCTGCTCTCCTTAGCTTTTCCAAGCCAGGCCTGTTATTGTTTGTACGCCAACCTTGTAAGGTAGGGTAATCCATTACAGCGGTGAGAGAGATGTTCAGCAGTGGAACTCTTTCTCTGCCCCAGAGTGTGGTGGAGGCTCCTTCTTTGGAGGCTTTGAAACAGAGGCTGGATGGCCATCTGTCGGGGCTGCTTTGAATGTAATTTTCCTGCTTCTTGGCAGAATGGGGTTGGACTGGATGGCCCATGAGGTCTCTTCCACCAGGTCTCTTTCAACTCTATGATTCTAAGAACTTCCTCACTCGGAGTGTGGTGGAAGCTCCTTCTTTGGAGGCTTTTAAACACTGGGACTGTGGCGCAGCTGGCTGGGAGTCAGCTGCATTAAGATCACTACTTTTTTTTTTTTGTCGTGTCAGGAGCGACTTGAGAAACTGCAAGTCACTTCTGGTGTGAGAGAATTGGCCGTCTGCAAGGACGTTGCCCAGAGGACGCCCGGATAAATTGATGTTTTTATCATCTTTGTGGGAGGCTTCTCTCATGTCCCCGCATGAGGACCTGGAGCTGATAGAGGGAGCTCATCCACCTCTCCCTGGATTCGAAGCTGCGACCTGTTGGTCTTCAGTCCTGCCGGCACAGGGGTTTAACCCACTGCACCACCGGGGGCTCCAAGATCACTACTGACCAAAGCG